GCTACTGCCCGGTGTGTTCTCAAATGTGGTCAGTCCATGCGAATGATGTGCTTCAGCGAGTAAGGGTGTTGATTGGGCTTGTGTGCACACTGGTTCTGTTTGCTACTTTGTGCGGGCACGCAATACTTGAGTGGTGGGGAAATGGAGCGGGGCGATGCATGGCCGCGTCTCGCCCATTGTCCACTGCACGATGGTGTGGTGCAAATTGTGGTGCTGACTCTGCGATGTGACTGCGGTCCCCTGCGCAGCAGTGGTGGTGTGTGGACGAGAGTAGTGACCCGCGGCGGGACGGTGGGATCGTGCCTCCTTTTCTCTTTGTTCCTTCCCTTTTGTGAAGGTATGCACTTATTTTTGGTGTCGGTGATGGGGCAAACAGACAGACACAGTGAATAAAACAAAATAAAAAGGGCGATAGTGTGGCGGTGTTGGGGTTGGTTGCAGGCCTCGGCTGCTTCACCGACAGGCGTTGCAGCGCGGCTGCATTGCGCACCGACCACCCGCCGTGCGAGTGCCACGCCCAACGCCATTGGGACAGCGGGACGAAACAGCCGCGAGTGTCCTTTGGAGCCAGCGGCACCTGCAGGCCGCAGTTGGGCGGTGCGAGTGGGATGCTTCACCGCACGGGTGTTGTGATGGCACCTCGCCGTGGCTCTTGTGATGGTTCCGACGCTGCGGCTCGACATGTGGCGGGGAGTAAAGTGTGGCCGCAGTGGACCATGAGCAGCACCAACATGAGGCTGAGTGATTTCCTTTGGAATTATGTTGGCGGCAGGGCGGCCGTTGATGAAAGACTACAACGTGACGATGGAGGTATTTGTTCAGGAGCCGGATGATTACGTACACGACCAGCGGCCTCTTGAAGAAATTCTTAACTTGACTGCGCACCAAGCGCTGGAGGCCATTACTAGGCCTCTTCACGAAGGTGTGCTCTCTCTCGGGCAACGTAGGGACTATGAAAGAAAGCATACGATCACTCCTGCTGCAAGGGGAAAACCAAACGGAGTACTCACGCAGGTACTGACAGAAGCGAGGCGGGAGGCAGAGGAAAGGCTAAGACGAACGCAAGAAATGAAATTTACCACTTCCACTAATATCAATGATGTACTGTTTAAGGGAAGAGCTCGCGTCAATGAAATGAGGCTGAACGACCTTCTTACGAGGGAACTGGACGGCAGGGGCATTGTGGACACCAATCGGGATTTCATGCTGGAGGAGTTTTTCAAGGACCCCACGAAGTATATCCGTGATAAAGGAGCACTGAACGAGATACAGGCATCAGGTCATTATTTGAGTATGAGGCGAGCTGTAAAGGGTGAAGTCGTCTTCGACGAGGATATACGCAGGCTATGCGATAAGGGTGTCGACAATCCACCTGGGCGGTCATTAGCTGCTGCGGAGGTAAAAGCAACTGTTCATAACTCCACTAAACATTTCTTGGATGCAGCTGCCGAGGAGGCGAGGAACCCAACGACGACAAGCGCACCGGAGAAACTGGAGGGAGTGTACGAGTCTGTGCACAATGCGGGGCGGAGCCATGCGGTGGAACTTCCGGACGGCGTGGAGCGAAAGAAAACGGGGACGGGAATGGGAGTGCGTGAGGGGAGGCCAGAACAGTCATGGTCGTACAGGGAAGCTGACGACGCTATCGAAGAGAATGATGCTGTGCAGCAATGTGGTGCAGCACCTCCCGTGTTGATGGTGCTTGCCTCGGAGAAGGGATGGCCGCACTCGTGGCATACGATACAGGATCCTCCCAAGGACGTTTTTGTGAACTGTGAGGTGGAACGAGTGTGGCGGATCGTCAAGGGCGATGTAACCGCGTGGCTCAGCCCTCACGGTGGGACCGACTTTGAGCCCAAGCGACGTGTGTTGATTGGGACGCCCGGGATCGGGAAGTCGATGGCTGCCGGCTCGTACCTCCTCTACCAGCCGCTGCACTGCGATGTCGGGAAACTCCAAGTGGTAGTCCACTGTTTTGGAGAGGAGATGCGTACGTGTCTGACAAGACTAGCAGAGCGGTGACAAGATACAGCGATGAGGACATGTGCATCTCTGAGTTGAGAGCTTTGTGGGGGCATGGGAGGAATGGGCATATTATCTACGGTGTGGCAAAGGAGGGAACGCCGCCACCGAGACATTTTGCGCCTACTTCTGGATGGGGCATGATTGCGGTGTCATCCCCAGAGGTAAGCAACTATGATGAGTGGGCGAAGCAACCATAAGCCGCGCGAATCATCGTGAATTGCCCCGACGAGGTGGATGTGAAGGCGATGTGCGCCTGGATAACGCGTGATGAGACCAAAGAGAAACAAGCGGAATGCTGGAAAGAGGTCAAAAAACACATGTATCTTTTGGGACCGATTCCACGTCATGTCTTTTATGAGGAGGCGTTTAGGGAACGCTGTGGAGCGGTGAGGTTTGCATTGCAATCGATCAACGAGGGAACTGTGAAAGGGTGCTTTTCACGGGGAGGTGAGTCGCCACGGTGTTCTGAGGATCCGTCCCACAGGATTTTGAAAGTTGTTCGGGAAATATACGCAGGCGGTGTGATCCTTTTCAATGCACCGATATCTGCTTGCCTCGAGGAACGGACATTGGAACGGTTCCCAAGTGTAGCAGAATAAAATAGCTTTTGAGGCTGATGTTGGCGTCGAGGGATAATATTTTGCCCATATTTTTTTGGGTGGTTTGCTTTGAAATCGTCCACGGAGAGTGCCTTTGTCAAGGCAATGGCGACGAAACTCACGGAGTTTGAGCCGCCAACAGGACGTCAAGCAAAGCCCTGCGTCTTGAAGTTGGCCCTGAATTGCATCCCAAGGGAGATGAGGGTTTGCTGCCGAGTGAATATGAAAAACGATCCGTAAAATAAAGTACGGGGTGCTGCACAAACCGTGGGCCACAAACCTTCCGCTGGTGGACGTCTTTTTTTCTCGGAGTCCAATCCAAGGACGGTGGTTGGGCTGCGGATGACTACGGCGGGTGAGCACCACACCACCGCCAGCACTGTGCAGCAGTTCACTGAGTGCCTGGCGGCATATTTTAATGGTTGGGAGGAGTTATCCCGAGACATGTCGTGGGGGATGATTTATGTGCAGCAGGCAGCCAGCACGCCGATGAACGACTGGCGGAGATGTGATGTCGTCAATTCCGATAATGTGAGCGACGAGAGCCTTGAGATTCGGTGTTCTGGGAGGAAGAGGTGCGCCAGTACCCAGTGTCAATATCATCCAGAGAATTTAGAAGAGACGAAGCCCTCCGAAGTGTGCAAAGATAATAATAATAGGAAAATAGATTAGGAAATTGAAGGTGAACGAGACAGCTTGATTTGTGGTGAAAAATCTTGCGGGAGTTATATATTTTTGGATGCTTGTGTCTGAGCATGCGGAGCGGGTGCACCAGCCCCATGCGGCAGCACCGCACACAAATGCCAAAATGACCAACGCTATCGGAAATAAAGGCGACCGAAGAAATTAGGGAGGGAAAGGGGTTGTTTGGCTTCTGGTGAAAAACATTGGGTGATTTTATATGTTGGTTGTGTGCGCATACGAGGCATAATTGGAGAATTGCCCCGGTATGAGAGAATCATTGTGGCTGGTGGTGTCACGGCGTTACCGCATTGTCCATTTCCTTCTATTGTGTTCGAAGGCCCATCACTAACGGAAGCATCTTTAAGGGATGGACGACGAATAAGGTCTATTGACGAAATGGTGCACTCCGTGTGACCGCATGGGGCGAGGCGCCGCGTCATGGATGGATGGATGGAGATCCGCTTCCGCTTGTGGCTCATTGGGTGATTGCTCGCTCCGTGTGCGTTGTGTGTCGGCAGCGGGCTGTGGCCGTATCCCGTTGGCCGTGGGATTGAACTGGAGGCGGTGGCGCTGTGTCTCTTCTTCTCTTCCATTGGTGTGTGGCTGCTGGCGGTGTGTGAGTTTGTTGTGTGGAAGGCCGAATCTTCTCACCCGCGGACTGACGGCACTGCGATGGTGCGTGTGTGTGAGGGCTGGTGTGGGCGATGGTTCTCCGCGCTGTTCCTTTCGGATTGTCTCGTGCCCCACCCTTTGCATGGGTGCTCTGCTCTGCTCCTCACTGACGTGTCTGATGTATTGCCGCTGTTGTTGCTTTACTCTCCACTTCTTGAACACAGTCACGCTAGGAAGGAAAATAAACTCTAAGCGCTAATCACTATTGTGAAATTTGAACACTCTGAAAGGACCAACAACACACACACACCGCCCACACACACATATTTATATGCTCTCACGTGTTGCTGCAGTGAAGGCACCCCGCACAGACAACCGTCGCCGCGTGACCGGATCCAGCGGAGGGAGGAGGGAAGGAAGAGAGAGTGAGCCGCAGAGGCCCCACATTTTCCGGGATGTGTTTGCTTTCGCGGTGCTGCTCCTCCTCATCGTGATGATGTGCTGCGGCACCTATGGAGCTGCGGCCGCTGGAGGGAATAATGGGAAGAGTGATTTGAGGAATATTTATAAGCTGCAGGGAGTCGATCTATTTGTGTCGCGGAAGACGCTGGTGCTGCCAAAAGAGGGGAACAATTCAGGTACGCCGAGGGATTCATTTGTTTCACCCTCTCTTGTCAGTGCTGGTGGAGTAATTGCTGCTTTTGCCGAAGGTCACGTGAAGGCCAAAAATACCGCTGATGCTCAATCAATTACGCACTTTTACTCTGATGTTGTTGCAGGGTACATTGACTCTGCGTGGAACTGGACCACTCTTGTTGACAACATCAATAAAAGTACATGGGGGGCACACATCGTGCTTACTGCAGCGGATGGACAAAAACGTTTGAATGTTATGCTTAACCCCACAACGATTGCAAAGGGAGACAAGGTGTTTCTTCTTTCGGAAGGCTCTCTTTGGTTCAATTTAAGCGAAAACAATTTTTGGGACAGATTTGATCTTAAACTGGTTGTGGGTACTGTCACTAATTCTACGCGCGGAATGCCGAGTAAACGGATTAGCTGGGACAACCCCAAATCGCTGTCAGTCCTGAATACCTCTGCTGCTTCTTACGAAAGTAAATTTGAGAGGGTTTTTCCTTCTGGTGGCTCAGGTGTTCTAATGGACAATGGCGCGCTCGTGTTTCCCGTGATTGCGTTTGATGAAAAAGATGACGTTTTCTCCATGATTATTTATTCGATGGACGACGGCGCAAACTGGACGCTTTCGAATGGAACGTCACCTGCGAAATGCGAGACTCCCCGCGTCACCGAATGGGAGGGATCACTTCTCATGATTGTTGATTGCGAGAACGACCAGAGTGTGTTCGAGTCGCGTGACATGGGGACAACGTGGACGGCAGCACTTGGGACACTCCCAGGCGCGTGGACCAAGTCAAAATCGAAAGCCATTTTGGATCGAAGCTTTTATGTGGAAGCCCTCATCACTGCGACCATTGGGGGCAGGAGGGTCATGCTGTACACGCAGCGAGGAGAATTCTCGGGAAATGAAACGGAAAGAGCGCTCTACCTTTGGGTCAAGGACAACATCCGCTCTTTTTGTGTTGGACCGGTTGCCATGAAGGATGGTATGAACTGGTTGTTCACCAGCAGCCTGCTGTACTCGGATGGTAATTTGCATCTTTTACAACAGAGGGAAAACGATAAAGGCAGTGCCATTTCACTTTCTCGCCTGACGGAGGAGCTGAGTGCAATCAAGTCCGTCCTCAGTACTTGGGCGCAAAAGGACGCCTTCTTCTCCAAATTGACCATACCCACGGCGGGTCTGGTGGCAGTTTTGTCCAATGCATTGTCCGGTGGTGACACATGGATCGACGAGTATCTTTGCCTGAATGCGACGGTGACGAACGCCACGAAGGTCAGATATGGATTTCAGTTGACGGAGCCTAGCTCCAGGGTATCATGGTCCGTGAACACTCGGGCTAATAATGTGCGTCATGTATCCTTGAGCCACAACTTCACACTCGTGGCGTCGGTGACCATCGAAGAGACTCCGAGTGGGAACACTCCTCTACTGACTGCGACGTTGGCGGACACTGCGTCCAATCATACCATGGGATTGTCGTATGCGGCGAATAAGACGTGGGGGACGGGGCTCAAAGGAAAGAAAACAACACAGAACGGCAGTTGGGAGCCGAAGAAGGGATACCAAGTGGCACTCATGCTGCAAGGCAAAAAGGCCTCTGTGTACATTGATGGTAAGTTGCTGGGGCAGGAAGAAGTGCCGTTAACGGGTGAGGCGCCACTTGAGCTTGTACGCTTTTGCTTTGGCGCGTGCGGTGAGGATGCCGGCCAGAAACCTAAGGTGACGGTGAAGAACGTCTTTCTGTACAACCGCCCACTGAATTCCACTGAGATGGCTGCAATCAAGGACAGGGCCCACACATCGAATGGCCCAGGGGAAGCACTGGCGGGGTGGGCAGCTTTGGAGGGAGCTGCCGCCAGAGAACATGCGGCTGTGGTGGGCTTGACATCTGCTGGAATTGCACTGCTGCCGCTGCTTCTTCTGCTGGGGCTGTGGGGCTTTGCGTCTGCGTGAGGAGCATGCGGCCTCAGTGTGGAACACTTGCTTTTTCCTCTGCAGCGACACACACACACACCGCTAGGAATAAATTTTACTTTGTGAAGAATAATTTGTTTTTGTTTTCTTTTAATGTTTTCCATTTTCCCCTTGCTGCTTTAGGGCAACCACCATGGAATTTTTCTTTTTTACTACTCCCTCTTTTAATTTTTTTTTCTTTTTTGGAGTATAATTTCTTATGTTTTTCTATGTTTGTTTATAATCATTTTTGTTTTGCTTTTTAAAACAATTTTTAAGTTTTTTTTGCTTTACTTTTTCCTTTTTAGCTTTTACGGGCAATCACTATGGGCGTTTCTTTTCTACTCTTCCCTCTTGAAGTGTTTCTTGCTGCACTCTTCCTGTGAGGGGTGCAGTGTGTTCCCGCCCAACTGCTCCACTCGCACAGCCACCGACACGCTCATGACGACGGCCCTGTGCGCCTCGCCTGCTGCACGCATGAGGAGGGGCCGCGACGAACGGCACGCTGAGGGAGCCGTGACGTGTGGGCGTGCGACGAGGGACTGTGGGGCGGAGCACACATTTCTTTCCCTCTTGTTTGTTTTTGCTGCGCTCACTCTCCCGATGGAGTGACGCGACTCCCGTCGTGTCTGCGTGCTTCTCTCAGTCCCCACACACACGAGTGACTGTGCTCTGCGGGCCGCACTCACGCACCGATGAGAGGGCTGAGGGGAGCAGCAACACGCAGATGACCCATGAAATATAAACGATGTGCGGACATACGGAGGGTCGGACGGTTGAAGGACATTTAAATATCTTTTAATTTTATTTTAGGACAAAATGTATGCAGACAATTTCTGGAGCAACATGGTAGTTGGATGCTTTTTGTGTGGTTCTTTTATTGTGTGGGTGTAGCCGTAATAGAGGACCACTTTTTTTTCTTTTTTCAATTTTTTCATTTTTTTTTTCTTCATTTTTTTTTATTTATGTTTTTCATTTTTTGTTTTTTTAAATTTTCATTTTTTCTTTTTCAAAGTATGAGGGGTTGAAAGGTGAAGATGATTTTTTTTAATTTTAATAATTTTTATGAATTGCCGCTGCTTGGTCCTCAGTGCAATATCATGAGTTTGAGCAGTCTTGTTATTTCTGCCATGCACCTCTGCTGTACATTTTTGTTTGTGCGTCCCCTCACTTGCTCTGCTCCTGTTTTCACTTCTTTGCCTCGTGTGTCTGCAGGCACACACAACCACATGCACGCACAAGATGCACATTGCAGTGGATTTGGATGCTTCTTTTGTGGCGTGTGCTGGCGGTTGCGGGTGGCTGCTGCTTCCTCCGTGTGCATGAAGGGAAGGAGGAGAGAGGGCGCGCACGGCAAGTCACTCTTCCTGCGGGTGTGATGCGCGCGGTGGGCTGCGACTGCTGTGGAGAGCCGCATTCCTTTCGGTGTGCGCTTCTCCGCCGTTGTGCTGTGCGCTTGCACATGTCATTTGTTATGCGCGTGCTGGACATGTGTTTCCGGAGCGTTGGGCGACCACCACCATTCTTTTTTGGCTTGTGTGAGTGGGCACGTGCGGGTGAGGGTCAGGGCGCATGGAATGAAGGAATGGCGTGAGGAAAGGGGAATTTGATTTGGATGGTATTTGGACCGGATTCATTTGGCTGCGGTGGTCACATGCACGACGGATGTGTTTCCGCATAATGGGGGAGGATGCGACAGGATTTTCCGAAGTGGCCCGTCAATGCAATTTGGTTTCATAGCACAGGGACACAGTGGTCTTCCTGCAATGGCTGGTGACGGCCCTAGTGGACCGGTGTATTTATGCTGCTGCTGCTGCTCGAGGAGGCGTAGAAGTGCGATTTGAGGTGAGCGGCGGAGGGGCCGCACATCCCGCAGTGATGGTCGTCGTTGGCCCACCGGGTGCCTCTGAAGGTTTTGTTGGATGCAACGTCCCTATTCCCGTCTCTGGATGGCGACATCCCTGAAGCCGCCAACGAACGGGGCTGCGAGCGACGGTGAGACGCAAGCACGTGTGGATGCTCGGAGCGGTCGGCGCACCACACGCTGAGAGCATGGCACGGCGAGGGCCGGACCCAGAAAAGGGACACCGCGCGGGACGTCAATCTTCACTGCAGCGTCCGCCACCGAGTTCGGATTTGCTCGCACCTTCTGCGGTCCCTCCTCCCTCACTTCTGTGCCGAGGACTGTGCCGCGGGATCCGGCAGCGCGATGTTTGGCCGCAGGAACATGGCCCGAACAAATGATTTGTGGGAGGGGATGTGCACTGCGAAGAGAAGGAAAAAAATGTTGCGAGACGACCACCACGACAAGACCGGAGTGAAGTTGTGTTTTGTCCACTTGCGCGTGGGCGGCCTGCCACCTGGTGGGTTAGGAGGATTACTTTTTTTTGCGTCGTTGCGCTCTCTTTTATTCCGCTGCGTTTTCATGCGGACCTGCGAAGGGAGATTTGCAAGAAATTCCTGCGAGGCGTCCGTGCCGTCGTCGGAAAGGCGAGTTACCCCTTGAAAAACGCCACTTTTTGAATTTGTTTTGGGCGGGGAGTTCCTGTCGATTCACTGCGACTTTGTTTTGCGGATTTGATGCGTGTGTCTCCGAACGGTTCGATCTGTGCTCCCGGCCCACTCGGATGTGGTGCGCGCCTCGACGTGAGGGTGCCTGCCAGCCGTTTTATTGCCTCCCCCGCTGTGGCTGCCGCCGCTGTCTTCTTCCCTTCCTGAGGTCCTGCGGCTTCTTGACAAGATGCTTTGGAGAAGGCGTTGCCGCTCTTATCGTCCATGTTATTTTGATTCTGGTGTCGCGGTCAGGAGACATTGAGCGAGAGGGTTTGCTGCCCTCTTGTTTTATTTGCCCTCTCTGCCTGACGGCCAGTTCTACACAAGCGTGCTCCTCGGCACCTCGGTTGGTGCTGGCGGGTTGCTCACAGTTGTCGCTGGCAATCGCATGTGCCAACTCGTCTCTGCTCCTTTTCAGTGTCGCATTCTTTATTGATTGACGGACGCCATTCTGTCCGGCGTGTCACCTTGATTGGATTGTGTGGGACTGCTCGCCAACGCCATCGGAGAAAGCAGACCGACTTTTCCACATATTTAATTCCATGTGGCGCGCAGGTATATTTTCACATGTTCTGTTGGGCACTCAAACAGCGAGGTGTCCGGAACTATGAATGCGTGGGATTCTTCCTGCCATGTGAATTACGGGCATCACC